TAATAGTGACTCAATTAATTGTGTCAAATAATTGCATCAATTGCATCAAGGATCTACAAATTTCAGCAACATGTATAATCTATAGGATGGTTTGGATAGAAAGTTCTGTAAAAGAACTCTTAATCAAGTATGGGAATGCAATCGAAAACACCATCCAGAAATCTGAGTGCATAGCGATAATGTGATGCACACTAGTAACACTTTGAACACTAAAATAACAGCAATCATAATCAAGATAAAACAGTTGTATGCACTGGAAGACAAAACTGTTAAACTTTACAACTTATCTATAGCATGCCAGCAACCAACTATCCCATATCAATACAACATTCTAGGAAAGTTGATGATGCGGAGATCAAATACCGTCACTAGATTAAGGATTAATGACATTGTCCTAATCGATAGGGTCACTTGTGTAGTCACTAACGTCACTGAAATTGGCCAAATCAAAAGAAATATGAAGTTGAGCAGTCGCACGAATCTGAAGTCCAGAGATATCATGTGATATGAAAACAGAAATTGTAGAAGATAATAATAAGTTAATAAAAGTAAAACTGATAAAAAAACAACAACCAACCAACAGTAATATCAATCTAGCAGGCAAAACTCAACCATCCAATACTCCACCACCAGTAATGGCAAACTGTAATGCTGAATCTAAAAAGTCAAAAATAAAAGAATCACTTAGTGCATCTCAGAATTCAGTAACGAATATACAACTAATTATGAAGATAAAATATATAATGATATGGTGGATTAGTTGGAGTTTTATAAACAGAACATATAAATAAGTATAAGGAAATGTATTTACCATATTGAGCTTAGAATAATTTGCCAGTAGTATAAATAGAAATAGGATAGCCTAATAAAAGGAATAGTGATTGCATTTGTAAGAGAGTAATAATAAATGCATCTCCTTAATTAATAAAAAAACTTGTCTTAAAGAGAAATCATTGCCTCCAATTAGAATTCAGTAAGACCAAAAGAGGAACTGTAGCGTGGATTAGAAAAAAAGCCTAGTTTAAAAAGGAAGTAATATTAATAAAGAAACCATTGATCAAATCTTAACATGCCTCAAGCAAGAAAACTTACTTTAAACTTAATTGTGACATGATTGCTGGTTCCAGATTAGTTGGAAAAAACAATAACAGTACATAAAGTTATAACTATATGGACTGTTGCATAACAAATCAGAAGAAAGAATATCTTTTATTCACAATAAAAGTTTAGATATATTGTATAATCTTGCACACAGTTTTTTTATTTTATAAGGTTTGATATATAAATCTAGATTGATATTTACAAATTAAAATTTGTTTCTAAACCTTGATTTACTATGTAACAATTATATCTAATTTTTCAAATTTTTCTAAAACATTTATAGGAACTTGATGATAAGATCAATACTTTTTAACTGCAAAGATAACTGCTTTACCTGAAAGCCCAAGTTTGTAAACACTTATACAACATGTAGAATAATATAAAAATTAGTGAGTTTTTGTTAAACTAACTGAAGCTAATGCATGTGATACAACTTTCTTAAGGTCATTGAATGAATAATTATAGTAAAGACATGAATATTGCTTTGCTTCTCCCCAAAAAGACTTGATGTAATTAAGTTCACAATGAAACTTTGAATAAAATATGCACATATGTTCTGCTGTCTCGATAACCTAAAAAGATAAGTTTTTTTTTTTTTTTTATTGTAAAAAGACATTAAATGCAAGTCTTTATTAAATTGTACAGTATATGTATAATACATGAGTTACATCAAACATCTTTACAGAATATTTCTTCAAATTAATGTTAACCTATCTATGATACTAATTAAAATAATCCTTCTTACACTTAATATAGATTGGATTTGCATTAGTACTGGATGGTTAATGCCCTTCCAGAATTAATATGAGATCTTAAGACTTTAGTATATTCATTTGATCTATTTGTTGTGAGTTGGAATATGTGATAATTTTGTCAAATAAGTCTGGTTGTGCAACAGGTGATCCTTTTGGTTTGATAATTGTGGGTTTTGAAATAGATTTTTTCTATCTAATACTAGATGTTATTGAGATGTTTGCTGTTGCCAATCTAGATATCCATACTGCTGTGTACAGAAGTTTGAAAGCAGAGTTTATTAATTTGGCCTGTGCTTTTTTTAAAAGCTGGATTCTGTGAGTCAACATTTCATATGTTAATTCTTCGAGATTTGAGTTTCTATTGATAATCAGAGTTTGTAATTGACAAACTGATTCTGCTGCTATTGTTTTGAACTTGCTTTTAGGTAAGAGTTTTTTAATTTTGTTTATGATTTTGTTTTCAATTTCAACAAATGCTAATGTGTTTTTATAGCATTTGAATACATGTCTTTGTGTTTTGGATGCAACTAGTCATCTGGGGCAAAGCTTGTCTTTGTAAAGGTTTAGATATCTCTTATATAATATTTGTCTTATAAGAAGAGAACTATTAAGTATTTTGTATTTAAATGCTAGCAGGGATAAGCAGCTGAGCTTGTTCTTTTTGATGAGAATCTTATTAGCTAAGTAAAGTGTTTGGAGGGATTCCAAATCAGGCGCCTGGTTCTATCTTTCTTTGACAATTGAGCTATTGGTGAGGTCTACCATTCTATATATTTGTTGAACTCTTTTAATCCAGTGTGTTGATCCTATGCTCCAAGTGTTTTTAATTCTAGGACTAGTTATATAGTTATCGACTGCTAGGATATTGTCGATTGAAATAATGTTGTCACTCTCCTAGGATGTCAAGGTGCCGGTCTGCTTATGTAAGGTTAGTCTAATCTCTTTCATAGTGCAGAGCTCGTTGATATAGTTAATTAGGTGACTATATGAAATTTTGATTCTTTGGTTAAGGTCACTTGGGGTGTTTAGCTATAGTACAAATAGGATACTGATGGTTATATAAGTCTGTTCCTTGATAGTTGCTAAAAGTTTTATGATTGATAGCAATATGTTGATAGGTCGGTTATAAATTAAGTACAGTGCTAAGTTAATTTCTTTGTTTTCTATAAAAACTAACACATCTTTTGTTGTTAGGTCTATTATTGGAAAAGGTCGAATATTTGATATCAACTGCTTGATATCTTCTATCATATTCTCATTTAGCTGGAAGGTATCTTTGCCAAGTAAGTTATTATTGATTATGACAGTAGAAGTAGCATTGTCTTCAAGGCGTGCTTGCAGCTGTTCTATCATTTCTTCAGAAGCGTTGGCTCAATAGTGTTGATTGTTTTTTGAATAGGTCCAAAAAGACATGGCTTCACTGGTGGGTACAATGACATGCACCCCAGTATTGTGGTACTGGTATTTTGTGAGCATTTTACTTGGATCGATGGTATAATGTGGCTCCTTAAGTAATTGGCTTGTGTCTCTATTGATTCTTGACTTAATATTATGGTTCCAAAAATTGGAATCGAATAGAATCGAACAGAATTGCATAAGATTCGGAACACTATTAAAAATGATGGTGGGATATACTCTACCTATTAAATTTAATATAAACTTGAGAATCAAATACAGAATCGAAGAGAATCGTTAGGATCCTTACTTAATATATAATACTTGATTGTTTTTCATGAAGGCCCAGAATTTAGCTTTAAGGTTAGAAATATTAGTAGAGGTTTCTTGAATATCAGATATGATTTTGATTTGTGAAAACCATGATGGCACAGAACCAAATGGAGTGGGACCTATATGTGTATTGAATTCGTGCCAAGTGAGTCTTCGGTTGTTCTTGTAAATACACAGATCTTTGAGAGTCTTGATTCCTTTCTGGAATAGACCTGAGGCTTGCTGCTTGTGTGCTTTGTCTTTGAATAAGAAAAAGAGACCTAGGAATAGATTACCATCAGGGTTATTGAATTTGCAGTTTGGAGAGCACACGTTAATTTGGTATTTTTTGCATGCCGTAACAGCTTGGGTTATCCAACTGCTTGGAAATTTTTCTGGATAACAGATTGGACATAACCAAATTACGTTGCTTGCCTGTATTGATTTGATTTCTATGTTAAGGGCATCTGTCGTTTTTATGTTACATGCTTTCGTGACAAGAAGTTTGATCAGAGTGAGATCTTGTTTGTCCATGAGATTGATACATTTGAGACTGGCTTGCGAGTATACAATTCTATCAGAGATGGTTCTTCTTATGTTGAATTTTTGCTTAATTAAACAGTTAATTCTTGTTTGGATTGCATGTAGTTAATTCTTTGTCAGTGTTGTTAAGTGCAGTGTGTAATCGATTTTGCTTGAAATTATCCAATCAATTACTTGCTTTATTATTGGTCCATTCTAGGACTGCTTACTGAGTGCTGAAATTGTTTGGTTCAGGTTTTTTATAAAAGATTGCTTGTATGAATTGCCAGAGCTGTCTCCTGAGAAGTAGTTGCCTAGATAGTGTAGTGGTACTTTATGTGACAGTGACTGAACCAAAGTATTGAGAACCTTTAGTCTTGAGTTTCTGTTGTTATTGTTATTGCCTAATGTTGTAATTAACATTGTTTTTTCAGTGTTATATTTGATATTGTTAAGAGTGAGGAAGGAACAGAAGATATTTATGATTTTTTATAGTTCTCTTATTGACTGAGCTATTAGAAGTACATCATCCATGTATTGTTAAAGTGAAAAATGAACTATATAAATAATGAGAAAAATAAAAGTAAAATAAAGTAAAATATAAAAAGTAATATGATAGATATGCAAAAGATATCTAGTATTTCTAGTATATTCTAGTATCTTTAAAT